GGATGGTTAGATGATTAACGAGGTTTAAGGAGGGTTATCCTCTGGTAATTCAACGGTAGCTATTGAAAATTGTCATAGAAATCGTGGATTTACCCATTAAAAATAGTGATTTTCCTTCGGGAACTGTTAGTTTACCAGAGGGTAATGATGGTTAATGAGTGTTAATGTGAATGACTGTTAATGATGGTTAATGATTGTTGATGAATGTTCGTGAATGTTAATTATGGTAAATGTTAATGAGTGTTCATGATAGTTAATGATGGTTAAAGATCATGATGATAAGAGCCAGCTAGATCTGGCTGGATGATTGTTAATTATTACTAAGGGGAATTAAATCATGAATTATCCCACAAGGTGGTGCCCCCCAGTTATAAGTTGGTTTATAAGCCCATTAACTATAGATATATCACCTATAAACCATAGTTATTGGAGTTATAAACCAACTTAGCTATCTTGGGGGCACCACCTTGCAGTCTAGCGGAACTTTTATTAGGTGAGTGACATGTGTTTTCCCCGAAAAAGATGGATGAAAGGCAACTCCTGGTCATTTCATGGTAAGAGATAGTGCTTAGGGCGAAAAGAATAGGGTGGGGTTGAAGATTGCTGTCCACTTTTACAAATTTGGCTATCTACTTTCAGGGTCTTCTAGTGGATTTACTGCAGGGTATTTTTTTTAACCAACGGCAACATTGAGATTTGATCACTGTCGAATCATCTCGCAATGTCAGGACATGGTCGCATACCAGAGTTGGATTTATCTCAGATCCATCCACTGAATCGCTCCAGTTAGCAGAGGTTAGCAGCCGAAATTATTCCCTACTGAAGTATTCTAACTCTTCCAAGTAGTTCAGATAGTTTTGAGGGATTACATACCCCATCCTTCCCATACATATAGATGCCCACATACACACCTAGCCTAGACCATCATTGATCATTAATTTACCCATGAAAAGTTGATTTTCCACAATAATCTTGGCACTGGCACTTTTGGTCATATGAGAATCAAGGTTTTCAGATGCCACTTAGTTCTGATTGAGGGATGATACCCCATTTTTCCTCAAATATATATATATATATACATGATTCTAATTATATAATCATATATATATATATGTATATGTATATATATATATATATATATATATGTATGTATATATATACATATATATGTATATACAGTATACATACATGTAATTATATGCATGCATATATTTATACATACACATATTACGGCAGTGTATATCCTGATGGCTTCGCAAAAAAAAGTCTGATCGTCCCAAAAAGGGGTGCGAGTTCAAGGAGTTGTGGTTCTTCACCACTTACCCAGATGGAATAAGTTGCTTTACAAAGCCAAAAAAAAAACATGAAAAAAAACATCCTTTGACTATACTTAACCATATATACCCTAGTTATACCGAGTAAGAAAACAAGGATAATACTCAGTGAACTAGTTCAACTAACATGTCTTAACCACTCTTTAGTGATCCATGGGATCCTCTAAAAACGATGGTCTGTTTTCTTCACCTCGACAGGACGTGGATCACTTGGATCTGGTGATGGAGTGCCTGGAGGGCGGCGAGCTGCTCCAACGCGTGAACGCCGGGCGCTTCGCGGAGAAGGACGCGGCGGACGCGGCCTATCAGATGCTTGGGGAAATCGTCAAAACGGGCACAGTGAGCTACGACGGCGTTGGTTGGAGAGAATTGAAGTAAGAATTGGGATTCTTTGGTGGTTACACCATCAATATATGGGCAAAATATGGTGGTTTCAACATGTCGACCTGGTTAACCGTTAATCATCAGAAATGCTGAAATTTGTTGTTTAACCCACCCAAATAGTGAACCAATGAATAATGGATTTATTATCTTCGGTGTTCCGTCTCAAAGAACTGCGGTTTCTTAAGAAATCATACAAGGAAATGACTGTTCCAGAACAGATAAGGTTGTAAGATAACATGACGAATGGGGAATTGGTGGTTTCCTAGATGTTTTCCCAATATGTTTCCTTGTCCGTTTCAAGTTTGGGGGAATAGTGTAAAATTGGATGGGTTCTTAAATCAGGTTTTTCCGAAGCCCCGGCGTAGATTTCCAATTGAAGATAGGTGTTATCATAATATCCAAACGGGATTTTTAGATGGAACGATGATAGCAAGACACCAATTACAAGATGTTGGTATCATCCCTTTGGGTACTATCTAAATATGGGTGTGAAAATGTGGTTCCACAAAGTCCCATGGGTAATCAGGGTTTTCCTGATATTTTTAGCAGCCAGAACTGAGGATGCTGCTGGCCATACGCTACCTGCATAGCTTGGGAGTGGTGCATCGCGACATCAAGCTGGACACACGGCGTGGACATCACGGATGGCTGGAGTAAAGGCCATGAAAACGTGGATCTTTTAGGGGATAGCGATGCAAAGAGTGAGTTATAGTAATCCCCAAAATTCATAAGAAGTTAGTAGATTGCTACCACAAAAGTGAACTAAGCATGCCAAATAAAACATGATGCCATTTTCCATGGCTATGGATGACATATTTGTTTACGTAATTACAGATGATAACATCCTGGAAAGACGTTGGGAGCCAAGGAAAACTTCATGTACGATGAGAAGGGCAGCAACCATCTGAAGCTCATTGACTTCGGCTTTAGCAAAGCCTGGGATCCGGAGAAAAACAAGAAATTGAAGATGAATTGTGCCCTGCTGGCACCTCAGGTAATAACCTTGGCGAATGATCACGACTTCTGTGTCCTCAACAGGGGAAATTCAAATATCCCAAGTTGTACTTCAGACAAGACGCTGTCCATCATTCTTTGATCAAATCATATTAAGACCATCCCTCTACGAATTTAAGCTACAAAGTTTGTGGCCTTGTGCATCTTACAGAGGCTTCCATTTTAGTCAGGCTAACCGTGACATGAAATCCAGGTCCAAGATGCTGTAGCTTTTATAAACTTGCGAATCTCATGTTATAAAGGAATCATTTTAATAATGTTCGCCCACCATGAAAATCGCAGTGGCATTTTGTAGCATGACATGATGAATATGATGAGCTTCATCAGAGCTGAGAACATGGTCCACACATGTCCAAACTGCTTGTGGGATTGGGGCTGCGCGGCTCAAAAATGATCAAACAGGACAATGCTGCATGATGATGCATGATCTGTATTGATCTGTGATGAATACTGAATGATGATGCTTGATGGACATTGGTGGATGCAAGTCTTGTTGAAACCAACGTGGCATTTTGTAGCAAAGATGTTCCTTTGCATGTGCAGTCCTGGGAACGACATTGGCATTTTATAGCAACGGGTATGTCCTTGTATGTGCAGTTGTTGAAAACGAAGGGGCGTTTTGTAACAAGGGAAAATTCCCCTAGGTCAAGGTTGTTGAAACGAAGGGGCATTTTGTAGCTAAGGCCATTTTGGGAAAAAATGGAGCTCAGCATCCTCATTCTATAGCCCCAAGCTTGTGATTATTTTTGTAACATTACAGAGTTAGGGTCACAACGTCTCCCCTGAAATTCGATGGGGGATTTGAATCCATTTAAATCTCTATTTTTGATGATTAAAACCAATTTATTAAGCCATATTAAGCCATATTAAGTCATATTAAGCCATATTAAGCCATATTAAGCCATATTAAGCCATATTAAGCCATATTAAGCCATATTTCAATAATGGAGACCCTTAAAAAAGAGCAAGTAACATCTTCGTGGCCCGCTTGGTCGGTTTTCCGCCCACTGGGGTCGTCCCAAACCCCTCTTTCTGGTCCAGGTTCGACACTGAAATTGATCTGCAAAATGGGGCCCCCAAAGGAGCCATTTCATTGGGAAAAATGATGATTGAACATTGTCGAGTACAGGACTTTCAGAGAAATCCATTGGCTGCGAAAAAAAACATGTTTAAAGATTCCATGCTATTCCAAGAGCTGTTGCCCAATACTATATAAGCTAAGTTATGCTTTTCTTTACCCTTTGGTAAACTAACAGTTTGCTATGGAAAATTACAAAGTTTCATAAGCAAATCCACCATGGCCGGCATGGCCTCGCTGCTTCGATCGAGCCACAAAGATGCCGTTGTGATATCTGGCTAGCTTGATATCACTTAACATGAATGCCAGAATATACATCACTTATCATCACTTCATATTAGAACAATATGGGTATGGATCAATACCTATAGATACATTTTTAGTGGGATGAACATCCATTTACCAGCTATTTTGATGTTCACCAGGGGTACACGGTTTTGACCCATCCCCACATCGACTTCATATGAGTATAATATAGTATAATATAGTATGATATAGTATAACATAGTATAATATAGTATAATATAGTATAATATAGTATATATAATATAGTATAATTATATGTATTTTTTTGGATATATATATATACATAATTGTAGATACCTTCTGGAAATCTAACATAGCTATTCAAAATGGCACATAGAGATTAAAGATTGTGATTTTCCATAGCAAACTGCTAGTTTACCAGACGGTAATCTCAACTGATGGGGTTAAGATCCCATTGTTATACCCATTAATAATAACAATGGTTGTACCCATGAATATTTAATCATTATGTTCATAACAAGTATGAAGTTTAGTAAGGGGAATCATTCCCCATATACCTCAGCTATTGTTTACTAGTGTAAATTATATGTTAGGCATTTTTTAGTATACCAGCAGCTTCATTTGTTACTTAAAATTAGGTAACGAGAAATTTAAGTAACGCATGTTCAATTTCTGCTCGAGAGTGCAAAAAGTGCTCGAGTTGTTTCTCCCAAAATGTTCTATTGCATATATTGATTTCTTGAATACATCCATTCGTACTTTGACATGTTTGAGGTATATTAGTTGATCACAGTTGTTTATGAACCCTCCTGCCCCAGCCCAGCTCACACGCTGTGAGTGCCACTTTCTCCCTGCTGATGCTGGCGGTCTTCAGTTGGAACGCCAGGGTCCAAGAGACAGGACACTGGGCTTGCCCTGGGTGGCTATCGGAGAAGCCTTTTATACTTCATAAGGACCCTCACAAAAGTTCTTTTGGCAACCGTAAGTGGATGAGTTCGTCGGCTTATTCGACTCACCTTTCCAATATAGTCTTCATCCTGCCAGCAAATCCAACCTAGGTGGCAAGTTCTTTCCCCCCAAAAAAACAAACATAGATTTCCCAAGATATCTAAAATATATCCATAAATTTTAGAAACAAAAAATAATTCCCCAACAAATATAGCAACACAGGGGTTCTCAAATAATTTCGAATCTCACCATAAACATAGGGGCGAGCTTTGGGCAAGGAACAGTTTGGATTGATGGCGTGGTGTGATGTTGGGTCTTCGATTTGGAGCTGTAAGTCACGACTTGGCTGCAAGTAGGTCCGAAAATACAGTATATGTTATTTTTGTTTAAAAAACACATAATTATGTTTTTCTGGTGGTGAAATTAAAAGCTTACTACAACATGGCCAAAGTACACAATATGCTCATGCATGTGACATTTTGGGCGTAAGCGGAGTAATTTCCACCTACGATCCCTGCATGCCCGGGCCAGGGCTTGGTACCCTTCCTCACTTGATAAGCAACCCTCCAAAAAATATTGTGGATCTTAGGCCAATCACAAAACATAAGCCAGAAATAAAAACAAATCACACCACATGAATCCTTTATAGACGCTGTCAAGGGTCGGTGATCCCCCAGCCATGGGCACATAATACAGGAACATCATCTCTTGGTATCCACACCCCATGCTTGTAAAGACCCCGGTAAAAACCATTGGCAGAATCAGCTGTCCACTTGACCAGGTCGAAGATCACACGCTCGCCATCTTCCTGGGATGCAGGACAGGATTGGTGTGATTGAAACTTTTTTGGGGCGGTGTTCCAAGAAATGGCCAGCCCAGGGAATTGAAAACTGTTAAAGTAAGTAATTAATAATCTAAATTTAGCTTCCACATCATCCCTGGAAGCCGCTGATAGCAACTCAGAGATCCATTTGCATACCACGATGCAATCATGCCCTTGTCCTGCAAGGACTGGGAAGTACTGCAGCCTTAGGAAACCATGTGGAAGCCAAACAAGGGTTTTAATATGGTTTTAGTAAGGGCTTCATAGGTCTTTGAAAAATTCGATAGATCAAATACGCAGGCACCAACACGGTACAAAATCAAAGGGTTTGCCATGACACAGGGCAAGTTACGACGAGACTTTGAACACCTTCAAGCTGAACTCAGAAATTTTGCAAGTTTCTTTTGCTGTGTGAACCCATTCCCGAAATCTTGCATAGGCGCGTTCCAACTTGGTTGGGATGGACCCACCACCAAACATGCCTATGTGGCACAAGGCAATCAGGGCACCTGCGGAAAAGTCCTTTCCAAATCCCATTGCAAAAGTATGGGCTAAATCCACTCTGCAGACAGAAGGGTTGTCAGCACCTGGAATCCAACGCAATGGACTTGTTTCAGCTTTCCAAGGTAAGGGTCCATTGAGGTCACATCCATTGTATGCATGCAGGCTAGAAAACCTCCCGAGCTTCCACCATTCCTGAAAGCACATTAACAAATTATGCCAAAAACTGTGCATGTTGAGCCATGTTTGTGATGGGGACTAAGAAAAACATACCACAACAAAAATGCATAGTTTCATCACGATGCCTTGTCATCACAAAAGTGGCACATCCTGGAACTCTTGAAACCGGTCACAAGTCCTGCAGCTTTGCGAACGTATGGCCAATCGCCTTTCAATCCGCAGAAGCCGAAGTAGAAAGTGTCACTCCCCTGGCAAAAGCTGATATGGGATCCGACATATACTACCAAGGGATATCCCAAAAAGCGGGTATGGAACCGGAAAGCGGAGTGGAACAAAAATAGACAAAAAAGAAGTCACAATATTTGTTTTAATGTTTGATGCATGATTCATCGTCACTGTCAAAGGTGAGGCCGTCAAAGAATAGTTGATCGCAATCTCTCGCCACAACTTCATGATAGTCCCTGTACGTAGCATCGTTTTTCGCATACATTCTTGCCGGAATGAATGTTGAGGCAAACCGGGTTGAAAATGAATGCCTAAGATATCCATTTTGTTTGGCAACTAAAAGAGTTTGAGAACAAAACCCAATAGATCACATACACACACACATTCTATTATTTTGGAAGCTTTCCAAAACCAAATAATTAGTTCCAACCAATGGCCAAAAAAACAAATCAATGTATTTGCTAAGAAACCAAAGAACCCAGAGATGCTTGTATGTTGGTCCCCGAGGACTGGGATCACAAACTGGAATGCCGTCACTAAGAGAGGAACCTTTGCTAGGCCCCGCCCTTCATCCCCATGAAGGCACCAAGGGACCACCTGGCCCCAGTCATCTTCTTCAAAAAAGCGATATACCGGATGGTGCGGATCTACGTGCTTGTACCGTTGCCAATATTGGCGGAACAAACTTCTGTATTGCTCGGGCTGATCCAAACCATATCCACCCAAGACATACTTCGGGCAACTTCTGAGCAGGTAAGTAACCCAAGAGCTCAAGGTTACAACTGGGTAAAGCATGTTGATCTCTCTGACTTTGGGTTTTGTGACTCTAACCCGCAAGGGAACTTTGCTGATCTTCACCGGGATGATTCGTGCATCTTTGACAACTTGGGTATAGAAGTTTCTAGCCAAGTTCTTCGGTTTTCTCGTTGACCCACACCGGCCAACATGCTCTAGCCCAAAGTCTCGGACACCTAAGATAGGGAGCCACAGGATCCGATGTGGCAACCCACCCAACCCAACACCAACAAATTTGAGTTTCCAATTCTAAACTTCAAACATCGTTTTGAGCAAGGCACCAAGCCGACGCATACGTCGGGAAGCCACTCGCGCTAGCCTCACCACCCTTTTCGCAGACTCAGCCTCAGTCGGACAAGGGCTTGACTATAGCTTTGATATGTTACACTGGTTTGTTATTGCAAGGCTAGGTTTTGCCCAGTCAAAGCCAAAGGAATACCACTTCAACTCTCAATAAGGTTCAGCAGAGTGACTCCATTTTCAAACCCAACCATAAGCTCATCCTCTAAATCGGACCCCGACAAAGACTCAGAAGATGAACTACCTCAGGGAAAAAAATCCAGCAACACATATCAGAACAACATCTTCCTAGATTGAAAACATACATTCTTCAATTTTCTTCATCCTTTTTCATCCGAGGTCGTGGCCCCCAGGGTTGACAGCATCATTCCTCACCAGGCCCCCAGCCTGACCAAGAGCACCTACGGCCGAGCATTGTCACCATCACGTGTTGTCTACTGTAACTTGTATGTTCCAACCAAAACAAGCGTAAAGGTAAAAGCACATTGCATCAAACAGCAAACCCGCACACGGGCCAGCAGGTACGCAAGTTTCTTATCTTTTTGTCACTGCACGCCTTGGTTCCCCACAAAGCATGTTCACGCGCATGTGCGCCAACTTTCTAAGATTGCCAGCATCGCATCAAGCTAACGCGTGGCTGGGTAGGTGTCAGTCATTCCCACATGTGTATGGGCCAACTTGACAACCGCATAAACTAAATAAATCCCCTGCATCACATCCAAGTCCATTTTTATGACTAGATGATTAGCTAGGGGGTGTGTTCTTTCTGGCGGCCGCCTTTCTTTTGGGCCTAGCCTTCGCTTTGCCCTTTGCCTTTGGCACTGCATCAGCAGGAGACGGACGATTCGGACGAAGCGGCACAACCGGAGGCTTCTTCGGGGGGGCCTTGAGGTTCCTGGCAGTGGAGTGTTGCCAAACAAAGTTGACTTTTATTTTCCAATAAGCGTTGCTTTGAATTTGATATGTGATATATTGTTCAGGAACTTAATCATCCTAACAAAAATCAAGACCCTCAAGCGTGCCAGAAACACTTGGCACGAATAACAACATTGTTCAGGGCAATGTCGTTCTTGGTGATCTCTCGCATTTTTCCCGAAATCTCGTCCACCTTTGCCTTGTACCTTGGGCCCCAATTTTGAATCCAAACTATAGTCCATATTGGATGCGGCACTGTGTTTCTATGATTGTGGACACACATTCCCTTTGCACTGAGTGCAGGGCTCTCCACTGCCATCCTTGCATGTATAGGCCTCCCCTTGAAGGGCAGTTAACTGGTCGTAGAGCTTGTTCATGGACGTGATGCTGTCACCAATTGTTTTCCCATACCTTAATTCAAGTCGTAAACTTTCCCAGATTTAAGATGAACTTGCCAAACACGGTATTTGAACCACCATTTGCTGACAAAACACTGCATGGCGCGGTCAAAGCCACGTTGCTCTTGCTTTTCCTCACAGACAGTTGTAAGTTCTGGCCCATAAAAACTTTTAGATTGGGACCAACTTCCAAGAATATTCACCAGTGATTTTTGGTAGTTGGTGATTGGTCCTTTTCTCGTTCAGCGGCTTCAATCTTGCGGGAGAGTGTGTCCAGGAACGTTGGCAAGACACCAATGACCGATACATTCTGTTGGAGAGTTGGAAACACCAACCTTGCCGGTGACATAGGTGTTGTGGGGTGCTTAGTGAATGTGGACTGATCTCATGTACATTTTTTTAAAGTCAATACGATAAATGACAAGTCAATTTTTCAACAAGGGAACTTGAAGGACCCATGGCTTTCCTGTGGGACACACTGGGTCTCTTCTTGTTTGCCAGCATCCACATCCGGCACCAAGCCAGCCAAACCCTCGGGCACAGGATCATCTTCGAGAAGTGTGCCATCAGGGTCCTCACAGCGTGTGGAAGCACAGTCCCACAACAAGGGCAAATTAGGGACTGAATGAAATGGTTCCCCACATCCATTAAAATAGCAGCCCTCTAAACCCATCACAACCCCTACCTCCATTTGGAACTGGCCCGATTGTTCCGTGCCATGCTCGTGATGATCATTCCACTTGAACTCATCATCGATGACCAACTTGCACTCCTCCTCCTTATGGATTGGGTTCCTCCTCCACTTGTTGTGTGCCTTTGCCCACTGCCATGCATTATCGCACATCGTCCTTGGCAATAGCTAGGAGTATTATTATTTGGAGTCCACAATATAATGGAGATAATTATACACCATTGTGCCAAAATTGCATATTCCAAAAACTAAGCTGGGTACTTACTCCAACTGCGATTGGCCACCAGCCATGCTTTGGTATACCAACCACCTAGTTTGGATTCATCCACCGTGCGCTTGTGCATTTTGGTGATCTTCACATCCATGGCCTCCACTGTCCCTTCCTTCATGAGCATCTCCCTCAGTCGCTTTCCTTAGCCGATAGCTGCAATCGGGTATGGGTTAGTTTTCCAAACGAAGGGATATATTTCAACAAATTTCAAGTATACGGGACCTTTACCAATCAAAGCACGATAAATATTATTTTACAGCTATGGTTCTTCCATCCTCGGTTTTGAACAAAGCCACTGTCTCTTTGCTAGCCAACATTCTTCCGTTTTCCCGTGGTGTCACATAGCGACGGATCCTGAGTTGCTGCCATGGGGAATTGTGCTATTGGCATCCCCAATTATCGACACATACATCCAAGAATAATATTGATCCAGCAACATACCAAAAGAGGACTCATCATTATCATATAAGCTTCTGGTGGTAGTATTTGTCATATTTGTTGGTGTCCTTCTTCTTCTTGCTATCCTTCTTCTCCGTTGTCTTGGGCACACTGTGCTGGTTCTCCGGTTTTGGTCCCTTTGGTGATGGGGTAACCACAGAATTCCCAGGCGTAATCTTCGGCTTATGCGGCTTGGCCCCCATTGCCAAAGATTCTGCATCATCATCAATTTCTGTGTCCCAAGGAGGGGGAGCAAAATCACCTTCTGCACAGCTTGGAGAATATCCCGGGGAAGAATGCCGAGATTGAGCATCTTGAAATAGCTCACCATTTTCATCAACCCCTGGTCCTTTGGGGGTGGACAAAATCTCCTCCACGGAATCAGCCTTTCCATAGCGAACGGTTGGCATGGCCCGTAGAGACTCTTGCGAGAGTGACTTAGTCCCCTTTGGTGTCAAGCCCTCTGGAGCTTTCACCATATTCCCTGCAACCATACCCGATTGAGGCCCACGACCTTCTGCCAAGAGGAGGTCTCCTGGGAACGGGACGTCGATCGAGGAAAACAACTTCATAGACTAGTGTTTTGATTGGGGATCTTCAGCTTTGAAGTTTTGGGACAAGACAGTATTCGTCGTGTTCAAGACCTGAGCCTTCTACAATGGTTTAAGTAGGCGTAGTCAGTAACGACTTTCTTGTAAATAAGCATCAATGCCAAACATGGCACTTGTCAAGCCACCCAACATGGATTGATTGACACTGATCTGTTTTGACGTTTATCAATTTGCCCCATTGGTGCCCCTTTGGAATTGGAACATGGGATCTTTAGCAGTGGAATGGGATAGTTGTTGGATGGTAAGTTCAAGTTTTTAAAATGAATCTTAGCCACCAGAGCCCTGCATCTTTCTGCCAACAAACAACCAGTCAAGAAACTGCGTTTGGTGAATAGCAAGCTTGTCAGCTGATGAGCAGTGATCTTGTCCAGGCGACATAATGCTGCATCTATCGTCCAAGTATTCTTTGTATTAAGCCTTCCCCCAACGATTAGACACCATAGATCATTCATATAAATCGAAAGCTACTTGTTATGGCAGTGGGACTCCCATTGCAAATTGAACTATCTGAAGAATTCCAAACCAAATTTTGGTTGCATCTCTGTGATATGTTGTCTTGCCATGTAAGGCTAACGTGTAAAATTTCAGGACCCGATTACATTGAAGGTTTTTGTTTATTCCATTTCATTGTGTGGTTATATCTAGAATGAACACAACCGATATACAGGACTTTACCAGTGTTTGGAAAACAAGGTCCTGGCTGTGGAGGGTCTGGCAACTCATCTGTTGTGCCGGCAGGCTCCGCACCAGCCAAAGCCTCTTGTAGGCTCCTGATCTTGGCTTCAGCGGCCTGGGGCGGTGACAAGGGGGATAAATTAATTTAACAAGTTTTGTTGGGGACTCCAATCCAACCAGTATCTTTTGTGGGTTGTTTCCAAAGACCAAAAAACAATATGTTGGAAGGCCATCCCAGCTTATTAAAACAGGGGACTGCAATTTCAGCGTCGATGTCCATCATGTGATCGATCTCTCCGACACAATTAGTTGCCAGTAAGGAAGCTCCGTGTGCCAACGAAGTTGAGCTGATGGAACGGGTAACCATCTACTCTGACCCTGGCTAATCTGAGAAAGGGGCTGCCTAAGATATATGTTCAATGACCATCAATGACGATTGCCGATATAGTGACCCCTGGACAAAAGATTCGATAAAGAACATCAAAGATAGCTGAAAAAACGGGGAGTGCTTTACTTGTGGGTGTGGCCCCCCAATCCCAGCACACCAACACCAACATTTCTTTATCTAGAGTTCCTAGCTCTGTCCCACAAGAAGACCTACCAAACGAGGGGAAATCATTTGAAAGTGGCCCAACAATGTCATAATAAAACAGTATCTAAAAATAACCATTTGTTACAGAAATTAGATTTGCGCCCGTTTTGCGGGTATTTGCGCCCGTTTTGCGGGTATTTGCGCTCGTTTTGCACTTCAGTTTTTGCTCGACTTGTTTTGTTGCAAATGAAAAGTGTGGGAATTCCACATATGTTCTACTTTGGAACCTGTTGGTACCAGCTTCTAATTAAATTCTCAAATTAAATCTGGTCATATCCAGTCATGTGAACCGAGAGCACGGAGGTTCCATGTGAACGAGCCAAGGCTGCCCGCCCTCTGCATAAGCTTGTTCAACCTGGGAGCCAGGTCCCTGGTTGAAGGAGACCAGGGTTCAACAGGACGGATTTGGAAGAATAGACACACTACCAGTATCTAACATCATTGGGATTCAGCTAAGTAACGGCTACCTTAAGCTCTCTGTGGAAAGTGGCCATAGTATCAACCCAGGAATCAGGAACTCTCAAAGCTTCATGATTATAGACGTAGAAGAAGCATTCGTGGAGCTTCCCATCTAGGAAAAGATCCTGCATAGGGTACTTTTCGAAGAGCTCCCGGTCTGACAATTTCAGATCCACAGCCCACTTCCTCCTGAGGTCTGGGAAAACCGCTGCTTGTAAACCCCGATAAGCTTCTTCAATTCGTCGTCCCATACCCACAGGGTAAATCCTCAGGGGGCAAAGATTGGCATATAATATGTTTAGTTCAGTGGCGGTTTGACTTGGGACATTCACCTAGCATGCAGCCTTGAAAAGACATGAGCAAAGAGTTTTGTTTATTGCATAAAAGTGTCTGGGCTTTCTTTAAGTTCGGTTTCACTCCCTGGAATCGAGACAATCCATTGCCATCTCGATAGCGACCTGAGTTTTTTCAAGCCCCAAAAGCTGGAAACAGATTTCTATGAATTATTTTCCAAAACTCTTGGATAACATATCCAATAATTAATTAGAAACACATATGGTGCTGCAACATTATTGATACCTTAAAAATCCTGAAAAACAAATTCTTGTTTTAGACTACCCACATGCTGGGGAGTGGCGGGTTGTTTCGAGCTGCTTGCCATCCCTCTTCTCTTTGGTCAGCCGGCCCAGGTCCAAGCAACCCGCCAACTCCCGGCAATTGGACCATATGGAGGTGCGCTTGGGGCAAGCCCCACCTAGAAGCTGCATCCAAAAATCTCCGCGATAGACCTGGGCCCGGGCAATGTGACATAGCCCAAGTTTCAATTTCCTTGTTCTGTTATGAACTGAAACCTTGACTTGAGGGATCACAAAAAATATTTATCATGCCAAAGAAGGGACATATGCAATGGAATTGCAAAGGTATTCAAAGCGAAAATGGCGCACCAACAGACTTTGACGAGGATTCTCTAGTATCCACAAGCAGTTGGAAGCAATAAGTACCATCAGCAAAGCCACTGTCCTGGGGTATTGGAGATCAGGGATCATACGAAAAGAGTGGGTTCTCGAAAATATCATATATAGTTTTTTTCCTGGGATATGGGTACCAATCAAAAACAACAATGGTAGAAGTCTTCAAAGCCGTCCTCGATATCATGACATTGCCTCGATCAACAAATTCCCTTTGAGGGCATCCCATGGCGTTATGATATGTTCTCATAGAAGTGTAGCGTGCGGGGATGCCCCAACTCCCGCAATCAGGAGCCAGCAGAACAAGCCCCGCCGGGACCATAGCCATCGCCACCAGAAGGGCAAGCCTTGGCAGGGACCCACAACACCCATGATGTTTGATTTTCAAGTATGTTACCCCAGCAATATCAATGCAGTTCAATAACACATACCCCGAAGGCTCGAGATAGTTCATACAAGACTGGCGGTGCCCAGCGGTAGCATAGTCCTTGTCGTAGCTAGCACAAGCATAGCCTTTCTGGTACCTAGGATTTGGAAAAGAAAGGCAAACGCCATCAAATCTTAATGTGGTCTTTGTATGATTGGATCTTGTATTACTTTGGCGAGGTGCATGTATTTTGAACAATTACCATGGCCACTGAAGACTTCAAAAAACTGAAAGGGGCCACCCACTGTCTGCCGCAAAGACGGACACCAACCAAGGAGTAAGACCTGGGATCAGCAGCCATGGAAGTATTTTCTATGCATTTGTTTTCATGATATTTTGCACGCCTCAACTCTATTATTTTTTGACATATGCTGAGGCGCTTACAAGTCCAATCAGGACCTTGGGGAGAAAGATCAATCTATATCCATCAATTCCGGAAAGATTCCAGCTCTAGGTATCGAGCAAAATTGGGGCGTCCTTCCCAACAGGATATATTCCCATTTTCTTGATTTAGAGGGTGCAATTTTAAGGAACCCCAATTTTGATCCATACCCACATGTAACACATTGTATCTGGTTCTGAGGGGAAACTTTCGGCGAGCCAATACTCATAAGGTTGTGGGTCAAACTTCCCGCCATAGCTTGATGCACGGGTGCCGGGAACTGGATCCAAAAGCTAGGCAGGGGAATATCCAGATATGTGCACAATGAAAGCTTGAACTGTAGTCTTTAGAATACCTCCTTATAGATCCCCTAAACTGTCTCATCGTGACAACCTTGTAAGTAAGATTTTATAAGAGGGATAATTCCTGAAAGATAATTCAATGACCCACAGTTTGAAGCTCACTGCAGCGCAGCACCTTGAAACAGAGCTCGGGCTGCCCAGGCCATTTGGATGCAATCGAAGATAGAAGGAATCACTCACGCCTGGCTGCTCAGCGGAAGATGGCTCGAAATCAACAGAGGGGGTGGGGTATATGGGCAGTTCAGCATACGAGACCTTCAACCTGAAACCATGTAAAATTGTTTAGATAATCGAACCTAACACCCTATGCAGTGGGATTCATCATCAAACAGTTTTTTTCACATCTGCTGAGAGATCACGCATAGATCAAACGTAGATCAAACCTAAGATCATCTAAGCTGCCTTTGCTCACCGAGCGCTGTGGGAACCAAGAAATCTCCACAAATCGGTGTTTCTTTGGGAGTGGATTGACACATGCACACATCCTAAGCACGTGTAGACACAACAAAATTTCAATTGCAGTAGCTTTGTGCTACTGCCCCCAAATCGAGAAAACAATTGTCGATGCCAACGTCGATCTTGATCAGAAAGTACGGTGGTATGCCTTGGATGGGCTGTGTAGGGAAGAAAGGTAAATCTTGGGTGTCCCTCCAAAAGCTCATGGGCCTAAAATGGAAACTAGAAAGATACTTAATTCATATTGTAAATCAAAGATGCTTCCTTTCCCACGGCCCTGGCTCCTGCTTCTTCCATCCCCTGCTTCAAAGCTGCCTTGTATGCCCTGTGGTAGGCCGAGCTCTTGCGGGAATTGCGGGCTCGAATGGCAATCTGTTCCGGGGTCAGGTGGGGCTTGCCATCATCAGAGCCACGGTCACCATCATCACCACCATCCGGGTTCATGGGTGCCCCCCCCTCAGCAGCCTTTGCCTTTTTGCCATGGGTATCAGCATTGGGTTTCCTGCCCCGTTTCTTGGGAGATGCCTTGCCCTTTGTCTTTACCACGGCCTTAGACTTTGCCTTGGCCTTGGCCTTGCTCTGTGCTGTGGCTTTCGCCTTGGGAGCTGCCTTTGCGACATGCCCATTCTTGCTTTCCCCGGGGCCCGCAGTGCTGATGTCCTGGTTTGACATGCCACTTAGGGTGGTTCCATTGTCAGCATCTTGTTTTGACTTCCTTGTTCTTTTCTTGGGTGGTTCAGCTGAACGTTCAACCTCAGCCTTTCTGCTTTTGCCTCTGCCTTTACCTCCGCCTTTGTTTCCTTTTCCTCTGCCTTTGCCTCCTCTTCCTCTGCCTTTCCCTTTGCTATTTCTCTTTGGTGCATTCTCTGGGTCAGTCACACGTTGGCCAGCAGCTTGCTCAGTGGGCGACACTGGCAAGAGGGTATCCAGAACCTCTGGCCTCTTCGCAAGAACCTCTGCCTGACAGCATGGAAAGAAAACAAAAACATGAGGTGGTCGGGTTTGGTAGAAAAACTTTATATGGTTTTGTTTTCAATATGGAACCTTGAGTTTATCTTGGTTGTATTTCTATAATAATGTGTTTTTTTTCCGACTTCTTACAAGTAGTGAGAACACTTCAAGCAACTAGAGGAAGGCAACACCCGACCCCTACCTCCTTCTCGGACTTCTCAAAATCTTTCTCCAAGTTCTTTCGGGGAAGGCTTTCCTCCTTCTTCTCTGACTCTTCAGCCATCATCTTGTCTGTCTGGTGCTCGTCTTTTGTCTTGGCAGCGGGTGCTTCAGCCTTTGGTACGGCTTCAGCTGGGGCGGAATCTTGAGTCTTGCGGTGCTCAATCTCCTCTTCTTTCTTTGCCTTCTTCAAATCACGGGTTGAAGCTTCAACCCGGCGCTTGCCAGGAACTGTGGCAAGCTGTCCATTCTCTAGCTCTACGTGCTTTGCTCTCTTCAAACCGGTGGAAACTGTGTTCTCAGGCTTGGGCTGATCTGGTAGGATATCCTCTGCCTTGCTCTTGTCCACCTCTTTTCCCTTGGGTTTGTCTTTCCTTCTGCTCGTCTTGGCCTTTGGCACCGAATCTCTTGTCTCTGGTTTCTTGCCATTCTCCTGCATCTTGTCTGCCTGGCTTACATCTTCTGTCTTGCTGGTGGCGGGTGCTTCGGCCTTTGGTATGGCTTCAGCTCTGGCGGAATCTGCTCCTTGTGAAGAAAGCGGGCTTGGATCCTTCTTCTCCAAAGCAGGGGCTGCAGCCTGCAGCGGGCCCCGTGGTGTATCTTTCATGTCCTCATGGTCACTTTCAGCACTTCGTTGTTTAGTCATGTTCCTCATTTTTTTTGAGCTACTTGCTTTAATCTTTCGATCATCTGGGCACACTGCTGTCACACTCTCGGTATTCATCCTATCAAAATAGCCCTGGGCAATTTCTTTTGGAGTACCCTTGGCAAGTAGAATGGAATTCAACATGGTGATACCGCTTTCTCGGGGATGCTGGGCCTCTTCAGACTTGGGAACTTCAACGTGACTTGTAGAGGGCTCATCAATCATGTTGGACCCAACAGAGTTGCCAACCTCAGGCGTGGCTGCCCGAGATGTGTGGGTGCCCTCAGACACGGCGGGGGCAGCGTGGCACTTGCCACCCTCTGGTGGGCTGAAGACCTGGACCTTCTCACCAGAAGGGGAAGCCAAGCGCATATTTCCGAACTCCTGAGCAGTTGGGAAGAAAAAACTAATCTTAACATATCTTGATATATCTTGACATGGAATGGTTCTTGACTAGTAGCTATCATTAACATAAGTTGGAAACATACTTGGGGCAAAAAAGGGTAGACTTAGAACCCGGTTGTCAATGTGCAGTCCTTCATGGCTGAAGTCACCATTTCCTCATCCATAGGGAGCGTGTCCATGTTGTCCACGGAACCTTCCCAATGAGGACCAGGTGCGAGAGAATAACCCATTCTTTGGTAGGGCGATGGGTTTTTCTAACATCCTTTTCCGTGTTGTTGTTTTTATTTATTTAAAATCAATTTTGCAATGCATCTAGAGTTCAAGTCTTATGAATGGCACATAGGCAGAAAGGGGAATCGTAGAAATATAAACCACAACAATATATTCACAACTTATAATGCTGATACCAGTTATATAATGTTCTGTTGTTTGGTAGTATTTATTTTTGAAACAATGCATGTAGAAATGTAGAAGCCCCTGTCCCACCAAGGCCGGCCTGCCGGCGACAGTGATGGAGACGAAGACGCAGGACTGCCTCGCATGGCCTTGAGTGACTCCAACCTGTACTGTGCCTCACGGAGTGCCAAAAGGGTCTGCAATTTTTTCTCCTCAGCATCCAACATGTCCTTCTCATCAACTTTTGAGTCAACCCCAGTAGATTCAGTAGGTGGCACATTGGCTGGGTCATTCGCTACACTGGGCTCTTCCATAGAACCCTCTTTGGCACATGGGGCAATAGCTGGGACCATAGGGATCTCAGTCGTCTCGGCCGGGGCAGTGTAGGAAACAAATGGTCCCGGGCGGCTCACATCACCTCATTAACAACTAAGTTTTTTCTCAACAATACATCATTTATCATCATTGAGTTCCCAATCTTTGGATGGAAAATAGTAATTAAGTGCTAGGATAGTTGGAGAGAAACCAGTGGAGGAGGATGAGGGTCCTGAGCTCACTGGAAAATCTGCGGCAGGAGCTTCTGCGTTGGGTAATTCAGCGCCGGTGTCCTCAGCTGGCCAGTGAGGCGGATGAAGTTTGATCGTCCGCAATCCTTTTTTTGATGGGAACCCTTGGTAAAGTAATTCAGCGTTATCAGAAAATGGTTCTAATTAAGAAGTTGAGGGTCTGGATCAATCTCACAATCATTGTCCAGATCTTCTTCCTCACACCCCTCTTCTTCCATCTCATCTCCCCATCCCTCTTCATCTTCACCAACATCATCACCAGGACTGGCAGCTTCCCCTGCTGGATTCGGGTGCTCGATCTCTGGGTCTGCACCTGGGAACATGGGGTAGTCCCAATGATAAATAACATGATATATGTTACCCGAAATCATTTTTTGGGTCATCATAATTGAGCACCAATGTTTACTATGGGCTTATCATATTTGTTTATATCAGGTCTAAACCACGTTCAATATCTAAATTAGGTCATATAAAAATGGATGATAGTATGGGTTATGCGCCTTCAGGTAATGGCACCCCTGCCACCAAGTACAAAGCCCGCATTGCTGGCTCACGTGGCACATGGGGCCGTTTGACGGTCCTAGAGAAGACCGAGATCAATCGGCGTAGTGCCCACGATTGTGCTTTCGCCTGCGTACCTGGGTCTAATCTTAGACACAATGGGGATATAACGCGCATTTCCCCAATACTACTCTTTCGGGTCAACATAAAGTAAAATTCGATTTGAGGGTTCACAGATCTCAAAAAGGAACAAACTTTAGCCAAGGATCTTGTAACTGCCGGTTTACTGCGAGAACGATTCCGAAAAAAGAACTCTTCCACATGGGGCTGAACTTCATGAACCGAAGGTCTAACACCTAGGATCATGTGATTTGTCGATGAAACTACTAACTGCTTTCAATAAGCCGGGGTTACCCCCCCAAAAAAAAACACAACAACCACCACAACCTAGGCACCAATGTGTTCAATCAAAGGGCCCAGAACATCGGCATTGTTCAGCACATCACGCCTACATATTTTGTCGGGCTTGGGGCATTGCACCAACTCACCCCGGGTTCCAGCATTCTGAAGATATTCATGCCGTTCCCATGCGGACACCACGGGCGACCGAGTTTCGATTTTCGCCATGGGTGCCCCCCAAGAAAAAATGGATGACAAATCTTGAACCTTCAAAGTTTGTGGGAAATGACGTGTTGATCAAACCTACTGTGGCAACACTGAGCTACCATTGAGTGGATTGACCTGTTGATATAAGCGTGCCAGATTGACCCAGGCACTCCGAGGTGTCGAGACCTCTCCGGGTTGAGATAGATTAGGTCAAGGAAAAGGTTATGTTTTAATATCATGTATGATCCATGTTGTGTGATACCATAATCCTACATATTCAATCATTTGGATAAAGGATATTGAAGGGATTGCATAACTCTAGCCAACCCCCGCCTTGCCACATATGATTTATGCAGTCTCCATGGTGCTCGAACCTGCTGCCAAGGTCTTTGGCTTTGGTGGGCACCGAGGGGAACCCAAGCGTGCACATCACATATGCACTGCACTTAAGAATAACCGGGCCTGTTCCTTGGGAAGCTGGCTCTTGGAATGAAGTTGACAGCCAAATGGCTGCCAAGATGACCAAGGTGGGATATCAGGTATGGGAAGATCTTAAACTATCATCGATGAGGGGTCAAGTGGCTGATGATATGTAAAAAGTGCTCGAGATGCAAAAAACGCTCGGGATGTAAATTTACATAACGAGGTCCCAATTTAAGGTACAAATCCTGGAAGTACTTAAATTTAAGTTACATATGAAGGTCCAGGTATATATATATATACATATATATATATATACATAATGATATATATATACATATTATATACAGTATATACATGCATATATTAATGTTACATACTTATGCATATATATATAGTCTATATTTTTTTAATAACTGACCTCCCTTCATCCCAGAGTTTCGTTGCGCACGACACCATCCTGAGGTGGCACGATCTGTTATGTCGCGCCAGAGGTGATCCAACAGAGCTATACCAACATGTGACATGCAACGGCGAAACGGGGAATGGTGGCCTTTTTTGGGGATGGAGATGTTGAACATGCTGGTTAAAATGGTGGAAAACGGAGATTACCCTCTGGTAATTTAACGTAGCTATTGAAAATGGCCATTTATAGTGAGTTTTCCCATTAAAAATGGTGATTTTCCATAGTTATGTTAGTTTACCAGAGGGTACAGTATTAGGAAAAATGATGTGTGAGAACTATTGAGAACTTGGACGTTGAATGCAAAATCATGGTTTCTTTTCCCGGCACTTGAGTTTTTTACATCAAAACTGACATGAAAAATGACAGCAAAATGGGGATGAATCACCTTCCAAGACATTCGGACAGCAAAACATGGCATCATAGGCCAATGACTAAAACCTCGATGGTTTATCATTATGTAGAGTTATCCCATATATCATGAAGATCCCACTATTATCCTTAATATCAGCCATATTAGCCCTATTTTCATATCCTTCTTTATCCCCTCAAAAAGTATGGGTTCTCCCGAGTTTTACTCGCTGACTTTGCTGATGGTGTCAACTTGCATCCTGGTAAGGCGCAGATATAATCAACTTAACTATGGTTTATGGGGATAGTCAGATATAGTCATAATAATGGGCTTACCATATTAATTATCAGTTAATATAAGATAAGTTTATTGTCAGATATAACTATTAATTATATAATGGGTTTTACAAAGCAACAAGACTGGGGCGGCCACCTTGTAGGAAAAGAAGAATAGCTATGTACTTACCGACCTACATACACACATCCATTCACCCATACATCCACATATATATATATATATACATATTCTCAAAAACAAGTCGGTTTGTACCGGGCTCGGTTGGATCTAAGTGTTGCATTTCTCGTGTAGATCACGTATAAATTCTGTATTTCTTGCCACTATCGTCACTCAGGTGTGATTTGTGGAGTTTGGGCGTGGTGGTGTTCCTGCTTTTGGTGGGCTATATGCCATTCCCCATACGACCCGACCTGGAAGACACTGAAACGGAGACTTGGTGATGGTTTTGAACCCCGCAAGATGAGGTCCAGTGATGTTTATATGAAGCCCGTTAACATCCGTTAACTATAGCTATTTGTAGCTAGAAACGTATCTTAAACCATCGTTATTGGAGTTATGTTTACCAACTTAGCTATCTATTGACAAAGTGGTGAAAGAAATAAATCTATTATATTAAACCCATTTAAAAGCCATAGATTTTTTGCCAGCCGTTTTTACTGTGCGATTTCGATCGATTTCGTGCCTCAGCTGCAGGATATCCTGAATGGTGACTTCACCTACGACGAAAAGAAATGGAGCAAAGTATCTGTGTCTTGGCGACCCGCTGCGCCGCTGCGCATAGGTCCAACGGGGAATCATTTTTTCATCGTCGACGTATCTGGTTAGCGATTGTGAGGTTAGCATCCAGTTATAAAATGTGTTCAAACGTAATAATAGAATAGAATAGAATGAATCCGGTCATTTGTGAAAAACCCACTCATGGGACTTCTAAACAAGGAGTGGAAACTAGCAACGAAGTGGGGTGATCCTTGAAATATTGCCTGTTTGTGATGGAGGTGTTGCAAAATGGCTGCAAGTAGCCACAAGGCAGATGCAATGCGTTTGGGAAAAAATACCAATGTGGGTGTCAGATGTGCCAGGAGAGGTTCCATCCTGACCAGAATGGTGAATTCATTGATAGTGATAGTGCTTCAATCGGTTTACTTTACCACTTGCCACTTGTGATAGTGCTTCGAAAATGTGGATCAATATGAACGTTCCCCCAATATTCAGTCCTTTTGGCAGATCCCAGCAAAGTCAGGGTTATCTTGCCGTGTTTCTTTCTGATTTGGGGATGATCAACATGTGCCTAGATCAATTCAAGCCATATCCTCAAAACATATCATGTTGGTTGTTTCCTGGTTCAATCCCATGAACACTTTAATTTCCTCAGAATAATCCCCAGTGCTTCTTGGTTGAACGACATCGAGCAAACCATGAACCATGTTGTGTTGGTTACATAGAATATGTTTGAACATGTTTGAACTGAACTGAACAATGCTTCTGTACAGTCAAATGCCTATTAGTTGTTGGTGAACCCCCCTCAATAGTTGGAGTTGATCCATTTTTTCTCGGAACATGTCCATGTTTGCTGCTGAAAACAAAGCAATCATACCCTGCAAGGTCAGGCCTCCCAGTTGTGTTTCTTCACACCTTTAGCTCGTTTGATGCATCTACTGTACCTTAAACCATGTTCTACTCCTGTATCGGCTTAAAGTCTACCGACTTGTCTACATCAATCGCATATAAAGCCCAATCCTTTCAATATGCTTGCAAGTTTAAATTGGAAACTTGAATAATGATTGACATGAGCAAAAAACGAAATGGACTAGCGAGAAAAGATAAAAAAAAACAAGTCTTTGTCACTTATGTGTTTCATTTTTTATCGTTCGTTTTTGCGTGATTGTTCCTTTTTGTTAACTTCGTTTTTGTTTTCTTGCATATGTTTCCTTTTCAACAAAATGTGAAATTGAAGAAACTAGTGGAAAAAGACGTCAACAAAAAAAGGGGAAAAAAGAGCGACACAGAAAGGGCAAATTCGAGTTGTTTGTTTAACTTGTGAAGCAGTTGCCTGTTTGTTTTGCAATGCAGTTTCCAGTCGAAACTTGTTGGTGCAACACACAACAACTCTTGTTGCTTTGAACTGAACAATGCTTCTGCACTAGTCAAATGTCTATTAGTTGTTTGTGAACCATCAACATTTGGAGTTGATCCATTTTTTCTCCGAACATGTCCATGTTTGCTGCTGAAAACAAAGCAAACACAGTTGTGTTTTTTTCACACCTTTAGCTAGTATATATATATATAATACATACATATATATATATTATGTATACATATATATACATGATATATATATATAAATATATTACTATATATATACATACATAATATATATATATGTAGTTTATGATGGTTAAAAAGCAAGAAACACAACGGGGTGGGCACCAGTTCCCAGGCCAGTTCCTTCGACTTCGTCTCAAAGTTGCTGCAGCGCGACCCCGAGCAGCGCATGACGGCGGAGCAGGCCTTGGCCCATCCCTGGATCCGCGATCGGGAGCAGATGCCCTCAGGGACCCTGAGGGATGGGAGGGGGCAGTTGGGGTCGTTACTTAGAGGTTTTATGGGAGATATAGAATAGTCAATCAACTACACATATATATATATATATACAGATATAGAAAATTATACACATATATATATATAATATAATATATAAATGCTATATCACATGGGATGGTGTGGTGATTTATCACTCATGTTCCCAACGAAATAGGGTGCTTGAACAGTTGAGGTTGAGGCGCGATTTTGTCACTACGGGTGAGGATATGGATTCGAAGGTCACTACGGTGAGGCCTCCCCCAGTTATAAGCTGGTGGATGAACCCATTAAGATCCATTAACTATAGACATATAGTCTATAATAGTGTATATATTATACCATAAGCTAGTTATAAATGAACTTGGCTATCGTTTGGGGGCCTCACCTTCTGTATAATGATCTGGGGATATAGCCATGGGATGACTAGTAGTCGGCTTGAGGATCATTCCACGGATCGTAACTGACGATCGTACCTCAGGTTGGATAGCGGGATAACACCGCGGAATTGTTTCAACAGTTGTTGCTTTGAGCTTGATTTGATATTGGAATATACCAACAAAATATGGAATATACCAACAAAATATGAAGGATAGCGTACAATCTGGCTGAATTAGGGCAACCTTCAGCGGTTGCAACAGTTCTTGGTTGCTTGGGCGATTCCTGTCGATGTATTTGTTCTTTCTTGTTACCCTCTGGCAATCAAACATGGCAATGGAAAATCGCCCCGGCTGCCCTGCAGAACCTCCAGGAAGCGGTTGAGAATTTTGAGTTGCCCTCTGGTAATTGAAAATGGCCATTTATAGTAGATTTTCCCATTGAAAATGGTGACTTTCCATAGTTATGTTAGTTTACCAGAGGGTGATTTGATTCTTCAGATATGATGACTCCCCTTCAGTCTTCCCAGCCAGG